CGGAGATGTTCGATCTTGTTCAATGAAAGTTCCACTCAGCACAGTAGAAGTGCTGAGTTCAATAATTGAGTCAATGAGGAAAGTGAACATGAAACGGTTCAATTTTCATAAAAGTCGACAAAAAAGCGAAAATCCGGGCATTCCAGTTTAACTAGCACAATTGGCATAGCGCCCAGGTACGCTCGCAAATGTGATGCAAGGCGTGCGCAAAGCGGCGCAGGTGCTGCGGAAAGGCTCCTCATTTGTACGGCCTGCATGGTGTCAGAAATGATTTCAATCGTAGAGCTTTAGCTTTATATCAGAAATGGATAGCAACCGCAATCTGCAGTTGCACCGCATTTCCTTTATACGTAAGGACTAGTTAATATTTAGGCGTAGAAGTTCCTGCTTTTATCTTATAAAGATCTTAGCTTGCATGCTGCACTGCTCTATTGTTTTTAAGCTAATTAAAAGAATTTTCATTTACAAAACTCAACGAATATGTAACACTTTTGCACAACTGAAAGCTTGACTTGGAATTCTAAAAGCAAATTTCAGCTCCAACTTGCATGCAGCGCTGTGAATCGAAGATCGTAGAAATTGCTCAACATCACTTGCAAATCCGACTATAAAAAAGGTTTTGATTGCCATTCCTTTTTTGTTTTCTTACGTTAATGTGTTTCTTGTCCGTATCAAAATGATGTTCTTGCTTTCAAGCTTCTTCCAAGAGGAACGATCTACGATCTCAACGATCTTTGACAGAAGAAAAGAGATTGAATTGCTGCACTCGTTCATCGCTTAAAGGCAGTGGATCGGCAAAACTTAACAGCGCAGGATTTTAACGCGGTAGGTTCCTTATCGCCCAGCTATGAAAACAGTGCAATCCCGGTTGCACAGCATGCTTTCCTTGCCGAGAAAATCGCTCTCGAACTTACACGTGCAAGCCAATCTTACAGTCTGCCCCAATCCTAACCAGGCCAAAATTGTATTGGCGGGAGCGCGCGCCGCGAGGGTTTCGCGCCACTTCTGCGTCTAGCTAGTCTGCTCTCTCCTCAATCTCTTCGCTCTCTGTGACAGCGCGCTTATGCAGCGCTAGAGGTTTGCGCTGCATAAGCGCGCTGTCACAGAGAGCGAAGAGATTGAGGAGAGAGCAGACTAGCTAGACGCAGAAGTGGCGCGAAACCCTCGCGGCGCGCGCTCCCGCCAATACAATTTTGGCCTGGTTAGGATTGGGGCAGACTGTAGGTGCGGGCCATATGATCGACCTAGTTGCATGTTTTCCGCATTGTGCCGAGGATGGGCTCATCAAGGCCATGTGCAAAACAACGGTCTTTAAAGGCTTATAATTTCATCCACAAAAGTGTTCTGCAGATAAGGAAGACAGATTTAAAGTCAGCATTTTATGCTGCATCTAACATAAGGTACGTCTGCGCCCCGAACCGGTTCCCATGTGCATTGCGCGCGCACGCAAGCGACGCCGTTTGCTCGCACGATTCGACCGCCACAGCTGTTATACTGTTTTTCTAGCTGAATTCTTCGGAAATTTTAGCTGTTTCATCCTCTCTTAAACTCCTTACTCCTCTCTCACTCTCTCATATACTCTTTTACTCCTTCTAAAGTGCTTTCATTCAAATGCAATGCTTTATCTGCTATAACAACGTTATTTTCCTACATATCATCACATTCTTTTGCTTTGTTTCTCGTAAAACGCCATTTAACGCATTCGTACGCTCGTTCGTCATTGTCATCGACTATTTTTTACGCGTTGTTTTGTTTTTCCGTGAAACCTCGGTCTAACACGTGAGTATGGTGGTGAATCTGTCGTTGTTTTAGAATCTTTATGTCTTCGGCAAGCAAAGCATCTGTAAATGATCTTCCTGTAAATAATCTGAAGAAAACTATTTCTGAGCTCTTCCGTAGTAGAAATGCAATTTAATTGTTTTCAAAAAGTTTTCACTCTGTTTCTAGTCGGACTCATACTCTCAAGAACAACTCGGTCGTATCTCGAACGCCATGGCCCTGTTCATGGGAACCAAGGTAATTTTTTTTTGATTTTCGGTTTTCTTTTTTTTTGTTTGAATGATTCCATGTTGTGAATCTTCTTTCAGTTGTTATTTTAGTCTGTTTATTCTCTCTTCTAGCCTTTTGTTCATTGTGTGCTTCTTTTCTAGTCTTCAGTTCCATCAGAAGTGGACTCCGCGCAACCCAATCGCGCGGATCGCGTTGATCAGTCCGACGAGGTGAAGTTTTTCTTTATTTTCCTCGCTCTATCATTTACAATGTTTCTTTTCCAGTCCTCACGTTCTTCGTCATCATTCAAAGTAGCTGCTGCGCCACCAAATCACATGGATCTATGGATCTAAATATGACTATCGGTAACGATCGCAAAAAAAAACTCAAGAAATGAGTACATATCCGATAGGTTTCTAACGCATTACAGAGAAAACATTTGCAGTATCATGAGCAAAGCGACTTCAACGAAAAAAAGGTTGGTCAAGTTGATGTTGCTTTACAACAACAGTACGCGATTATAAAATCTGTAGAAGTGCTTGGAAAAATAAACTGCAACAGAAAAAAGTCAGAGAAATTTTGACATTGCTTTCAGTACCTTTTCATACACCTCTCGCATCCTCTAGAATCGTGCTTGTAAAGAATGATCCTTCTCGGAGTGTGCCACCTTTGTAGTTAGTTTGAAAGTGGAAACCTAGAAGATTTCATGAAGGAGACGTTTTGAAAACCCTAAGAATCAAAACATCGTGAAGCTAACATGTTCAACATTTGCCTCTACGGATCTAACGAGGCGAGTTAGAAGCTGCAAAACACCGTCAGGAGAAGAAATCTGCAATTGAAACTGATTATCTACGATAAACAGTTCCAAGCAAAGGATATCAGTATAGGAAGCTTGCTCACGTTGGTCAAGGTCTCCGCTTAAACCATAACTCCCATAAAACATTTCCAGTGACCTTTTCGTCCAGAGCACCCACATTATAGTTGCATCTGCCATGCTAAAAATTTAGATAAATAATGACACCCATTACTACGAAACGCGCTGATAAGTCGAATCAGAACCTTCTCTAGATTTTTGCGAGTTTATTCCGTCAATCTTTTCTCAACCTCATGTTCACGTAAGAATGTGTGCAACTTTGCAAGGCAGCATTTTCATAAAGTCAGACCATGATCAGGAAGTGGCCACATTCCAAAGCTTGTTATCTTTCACCAACATATTGAATGAATTTTAATAATCTGATCTTGATTTGCCGCAGTTGTGATAAAGAGAGTAGCGGTATACACACGATACCTAAGATTAAAATTGATTTTCACTTCCAATCTACGAGCACCACCAATGAAGAGACACCTCAATTTGCAAAAGACCGAATCTGAGACTTGCGGAAAAAAGTATTTGGGTAAACTGTCTGTCATGATCAACAATTAGCAATTTGTGGATAATTAACTAACCTTGATTTCGCTCTACTATCGGTCGTGCTGAAATACTGACGACAAAACGGCTTTTACAAGTTCCTGAATAGTCTGAATAAAAAGATACGAACAACAGTGCCCGACAAAATTTTCAGAAAAGTAACAAGCTTGGATACAACCACTGAATCTCCGATGCCATGCGTAAATATATAATTTTTCAAGTGAAAATAATTTTCAAGTGAGAATAACAACAAAACTGTATACATTCGAAGGTCTAAAGGTTTTGAATATAAAAGCGATACAGAAACATGGAATGATGTCTCTCAAGTATTCTCGCGACAAGCGACAAAAATCTGGGAGTACATATTCACGACGGATTGTATTGCGAGCATCGCAGTATCTAAAAAGAAATTTGTATGCTGTAGCACTCCCATGATCCAAAAACGAGCAAAATTGCATCTTGCAGCAGCTGCTACGAAGAAGCTACAGAGTAGCTTCTTCGTAACAGTCTCAACACTCAAATAGTATGATCTTCGAACGCTCTAAAAGAAGAGAAACTATATTATAAACCCAAATAGCAATTTTCATATCCCTATTGAAGTCAAGTGAGACAAACCAAGCATCTTCTTTGCATTGGTTCATAATCTAAGTCTCTTCCAACAGGTTTAGGACAATGACGAACGAGCGGTACGAATGCATTAGATGACGTACAAGAAACAAAACAATAGAATGTGATAATAACTAGTGAAAGAGCATACGAGAGAGTGAGAGAGGAGTAAGGAGTATAAGAGAGGATGAAACAACTAAAATTTTCGAAGAATTCAGCTAGAAAAACAGTAAAAAGCTGTGGCGGTCGAATCGCGCGAGCAAACGGCGTCGCGTGCGTGCGCGCGCGGTGGTTCACATGGGAACCTGTTCGGGGCGCAGACGGTATGCAGCTTGCTTGAATTGGCCACTTCGATTTCTGACCATTACCTTGCTAGTCATTGTCATCATTTACGATCTCGCCTCTTTCCGACTATAAAATTTTAACGGCAGCAGAACAAGACATTTGGTCGACTTTGCCCTTCTCGCTTACTCAGAGTACTTGCTCAGTTTTGCATTCCAAGTGTAGAAACTCCTCAACATGTTTATAGCAGAGTGATGCGTACATGCACAGCGAACTCCTACAACCGATTTTTTGATTAATGAAGACGAACCCACGAGTTTTTCAGAAGCTGAATTGTCGAGGTTAAGGGACGTAAGTAAACCCTCATACGTGTGAAATCAGAGCTAGGGTGTAAAAGCGGTAGCATTCTTCGTGCACTGTAAACGTTTGAGGGTGCTTGCGCAGCGAACACGAGGCAAAAAAATTTCTTCGTGGATGGCTTCGGCAAGCTGGTTCTGGTATAAAATGTGCAACCGCAAGCGAATTCAGAAAGGTTTGAAGGGCAAGGATAAGTCTCAAAATGCAAAAAAATACAATAATTTTAGTAGAGACCCACAATTTTTCTCTGTACTCGATCAGCTCGAATATGCCGAAAGAATTTGCAGTGAGAAGCTGCTCACATTCAGTGGAGAAAAAGGTGCTCCTTTACTTCTGAAATTAAAGTATCTCAGAGAAAGCGCGGACTTGGTGTGCAGTCTAATAGGGAAAAGATGTGCACAATAACATTTTGAGTAACTCAGCTGTTCCATGTATGCAATAAGCTTGAAGATATAGTTCTTCATACGTACAGAAGAGTAAACGTGCATGAGTAAACAGGCTAGGAAATAACATGAGCTATGGGTGATTTTGGTCAACATATTAAGAGTTTTAGGGTTCTTACAGAATTACTTTTCTAAACAAAGATGAACTTTTCAAAACCGTATATTCTCCACTTTTTTATAGGAGCATATAATAATATTGGCAGTATTGTTTCGATTCGCATACGATAAGTCGTTTCATATAGGCGGCGCGGTAGGATATGGTGGCGGAGGTCGGCCAAAGTAGGCGGGTGTCGACGCTTGAGGTGAGCTCGCTGTTGTAAAGGTGATGGGAACGGTTGCAGTTGAGACGAACTGCTGTTGTGGAACTCTTTGTACAGTCCTGAAACTATCCAATGTGTAAAATACAATTTGAAACGCGCTTACACTCTGACGCCCGTAGTGCTCAGACGGCGCAACTTCTGAAGTTGTAGGCACAGACATGCATAAAAAACGATTGCAAGTGGGGAAAATATAATTGTTAGAAAGTACACATCTGTAATAGTATGAGCAAGCAAGCGAAAACTCAATCGACTAAAAATATCCAGAAAAGATTTACATCCTAGTGCAGCAATCACCACTGTTCTGATGAGCGCCACAATTATTGGAACCCGAAGGATTGTCTGAAATTTAAAGTAACCTTTTGGCAGAAAATGCTAAAGGAAATCAAGTACCCTGATACTTTGTAACGATAATATTCTCATCATGACAGAAAGCACTGCAATTAGTGACTTACATTGCCTAGCAAAGAAAGAGTGATCAGAAGTCTTTGCATAGTGACGATGCTCACCAAAGTCAAACAGAGGACAAAGGCATCAGTTATCGCCAAAATAGAACCTAAAAAGATTTTTTTCAAACCTCTGCACACTTTCTATAACGACCTGGACCTGCAAGCGGTCCACATTTAATGAGTTCATGAGATACGCAGAAAGGAGAGCACGTAAAAGTTTATAAAGTGTCAATGCGCTCATCAATTTCAAACTGCGTAGGTGTTACTTGCTGAACTCACCGAAAATAAGCGACAACAGCACAAAAACAACACAGTCCGACACATACATCAGAATGCTCACCACAAGACATATTTTCTGGAAAATCGTGCACTGGTGAAAGGTGAAGTGCGGTAAAATTTGCGCGTGAACGAATAGGACGCCAATAATCCGGCATTTTGCGCACGCGATTAGTCGACATCACAGGCATAGCCTTTGTTCATGCACATATTTTTCCGCACTTTACAACGCAAACACACTAAATTAAGCAGAAAAGCTACTCGACTTCAAGGAGGACGTTACCTGAGTTTGAAACAAGAAATGACAACACATTGGTGTGTGCAGCTAAGTTGAGTCAGTGACTATGTGGTTGCTCTTATCGCTGATATGGAAGCACTCAAAAAATTAGAAGGGCATTTTGACACCTCAGATGTTTCTATCTCGCAATGCCATCCGTTGGAATCAATTTCAAAACAACTTGCAAACTTCTTTTCGTCCACCTCGAAAAGTGATAACATTTCATTTTACTATTTGAGCTTCACCATTGAGTTTGGCATCATAACCCATAGCTTGTGTCTCTCCTCTGTGTTCTTTAGGTGTTTATACTGTTTATCACAACACTATTACAATCTAGTTCGAATGTAGTATTAAAGAAGGCCAATCAAGAGGCATACATTACCGCAATGTGCTCAAGGGGTTGATTCCAAATATCTAGCTGTCAGCTGCAGGACGGTTCTGTACAAGAAGGCATGAGGGGGGGGGGGTTATCCTCCGGGGTGTTGAGGCACCATCAACATGTTGGCCCCTGTCTACGAGCAGTGTGCACAAGTGTAGAAGAGTACGCAACGGTGGCGGCTGGCATGGTGCTGAGAAATGTGTTTGATAATCAGAGGGTCACGAATTTAATCTCGTCGCATGCAGCTTTGTTGCAGTTTATACAGAATGGAAAATAATGTTAGTGCTAGTCAAGGTTAGAAGGTTAAAAACCAGGAATAATAGTAAGCAGGAAATTTCCTTTTAATCATGGTAGCCACATGGCCTACGTTTCAAAAATTTTATCGCTTTGTGGCACACATCCAGGTATTTTATTCATCATAGGCAGATTAGATCACCATTCTAATACTGTTTTCTGCCATTTTCAGTAGCTGTTTGCGGAGCCGCTAACTGAGGAAAATTCATTTCATTCGCTGCGCTCACGGTTAGAAATTTTCTAGTGAACATTTTGTAAAAGCCGTAATAGCCTCCATATGTGTACGTAAATGAGCTCATTGTCTATAATGTCAAAAAACGAATAATCATGTGAAGAGGGTGTAGTGTAAAAATTTCTAGCTGTGACTAGCTTGATATTGTTAGAAAATTTTAGGCTTCAGTGCTCCAAAGCAACTTGGAATGTAAAATTTACATTCTGCAAGAATTGCAGTGAAGTTGCATGCTACGCGACTCAAACCCGTGATCATCTGCTTATCAAGCAAGTCACTATCATGCCGGCCGACATCGATTCAAATTCTTCTATATTGATCGTAGACAAGGGCCCAAATGTTGTTGGGAATCAATCCCGAACAACACCCTCCCCTCCCCATGGCTCCGTCTACAGAACCGTTCCGCAGTTACATACTATTGACTTAGAATCAGCGTTTCAAGCGCATTACGATGATCTATGCCTCATCCGGATTTTCCATGTAGAATTCTATCGACCAATTGTTGTTGCCACTCATTAATAATTTTTCTGTGGTCGTCTGGTGTGTCCACAACTACACTACACCGCCCACAGAACGCGCAAAAATCCGGGAATCTCGCGATCACGCAAATTACGCAGGCGACGCAGCGCCATAACTTCCTTCGGGATGAATGTATCCTGAATCCTTCTTTTCGCAAAGATGTAACGTAGCACACATCGCACGTAAAAGATTCCAGTAAGCATTATTCGATAGCGCTGTTTCCGTAGATTATGGAGCGCTAACAAACAGCAGGAGCCTTCTTTACTAAAAAGATAGAAGAGCTGACGAATTTTGGAAAAATCATGTCGTCCCAAACTTTACTAACCATAACCCTAAATTATGAAGCTCTCCTTCCAAACAGATGTGCTTTTCGTGACCAGCAGGTCAGATAACCTCTTTGAACATAACAAATATTCCAAGAGATTCGCGTTGTTTCAATCATAAAGGTTTTCAAACACGCTCATTACAAAAGTGTGGTTGTTGCGGAGTTGCGGAGTACGCCTTTTCAGAGGGATATGGTTAGGGTGCTGTAGCTAGGAAAATTTGTAAATTCACCTGCACTCTTTGCGTATGTATCGAAAAACTTGCTTGCCCACAGTTGAAGTCATTAGAAATCGTACCTATTGAACGATGCATGTCTCAGGCTTCAGTCTACAGCGATCAACAATATGCGAGCTTATCGTCAAGTCATTCGTAACTTAATATGCTAGTGCACGCTATACACGCTAACTGACGAACTGCAAAACTAGAACTTGCTTATTTCCAGTGATTTCTCCTTGTTTCCTTGTCCACTTTGTTTTTGTTGATTATATGCTAGTCAATAGAACACAGTTCCACAGTTTGTCAGGCTTGAAAATGTTTCACCGGAAAGTTACCAGCAATGGTTCCTTCGCTAATAGGGCTTAGTGTGCAGTCTCACACATTAAGATGGAAATGATTCAAGGTTACAAAAAACGTCCTCATAAATATTTTCCAAAAAAAGAACGCATACTTTGTCGAAATTCCATCGTGAGTGGTTTCCATGACACGCTGATTGCAAATTTTATGTTCAGCAACCTAGTTAGATAGCTCAGATACTATTCTAACCACCGTATCCATTACGGTAGATTCCCTGAGCGAAGTGAACATGAAATTTGCCACCAGTGTGTTGGAAGCACTCACGATGGAATTTCGATGAAGTATGCAATTTTTGCGTTTTGGGCAACATTCCTGAGGACGCGATTTCATAAGTTTGTAACTGGGCGTCTGTCATAGAGTAACGCCTGAGACATGCAAAGTTTAAAAGCACGCTTCCTAGTGATTTCAACCTAAAAATACAAACAGTCATGTTCTCTGTTAGATATGCGAAAAGCGCAGGCGACTTTACGAACTTTCGTGGCTTAGCTACAATCCCCACCATACTTTGCTAGAAAGCCCTGTATTCCTCAAAAACCACAGTTTTGTAAAGAGCTGTTTGACTCGATGAGCGGAATTGCCTTTCAATCCAAGATCATCATATTTGAGCCAACACTTGCGAGCTTTAAAAGCGTATAACGAGGAAAAATCATATAGTCCGCACCTTCTAAAAAACATGCCCATAGAGGTTGTCTAACCTGGGGCGGTAATTATCAATAGGTATATGTCAAGAATAACGATGGCTGGCAATAGTGGCGCCTTGAGTGCCCGGGTGTCAATAAGCGTTGTACCGGTAGCACCGCCCCAGCTGCAGGCTAGCTCACGCAAACAGTAAGCTTGTAGCATTATATGCCCAAACATTATTTTTCTTTATCATTGCTTCATGTTATCGTTTCTGATATCTTCCTCAGATGGAAATAATCAGCAATCACGTCACTGCTCGCATGCGCTAGTAAACATTTAAGCTCAAGCATGTGAAATGCATAAAGTCACTACATATAGGAAGAAAATTCAATAAAAAGAAATGGGATTGAATCCTTTTTTCTCGTTTAGAAGAGTGAGGGAAGGCCTGTTTTGCACTCGCCAGCAGCTGGCAGAGCTGTCGTTTATTTCTTTATAGGAAGAGGTTTCTGTACATCTACAGCCCGTAAAGGCGCGGGCACTGCCGCCCGCGATACACGAAGTCAAGCTGGTGATCGGGCTCCTGTCTACTTGAAAATGTGGTGCGATCTGGCAAGTTGGGCCAGATCGCACCATATTACCAGGTGGGCACGGCAGTCAGACAGCGGAGCCCAATCTGTCGAGATCGAGCTCTACTGCCAGACTGCCGTGCCCGACATGGCCAAACTTGTCAGATCGCACCACATTCTAAGGTTTGATGAATCACTGGTTTTGGCGTTCTCGCCTGTCCTGGCTCTCGTGAACATGGCTCAAACAGCGAGTGGGAGATTGATTGATATATGCCAGCCCTGTTGATTACGAAAATTACATATAGGGTGATATTTATCAGTCTTCCGCACGCTGTCCCGGTGCTTTCCGTAGTTATACACGGCCCGTAAAGGTGAGAGCTTGAACGGGCAGCAGAGCCCGATCTGTCGAGATCGGACCTGCCGCGCCCGATGGCCAAACTTGCCAGATCGGACTTCTGAATCAACGCAGTGTCCTAGGTGAGATCCAGATAGTATGATTGCGATGGGATTGATAAATGTGGTTCATTCCAGCTTTCCGTTTTATACCAGATATGTATGCCCTCATTAAGCCAAAAATAAGAGTTTTTGATACATTTGTGCATTTCTAACTTATCCCACTGTATGAATTGTCCTACAATACGAAATATTCAACGGATTACTAGTATAAATGAACTAGCCGTTTCCAGCATCCTTTGAGAAAAATGATCCTAATTCCTCTATCTTACTTTACAAGTGTTGACGTGATCACTAAATGTGTATATAAGTGCAAAAACTGTGCTCGATGAGCGAAAAAAAAGAAAAAAAACAACAAAAAGCAATGGATTTTCATGTCTTTATCATGCAAAGTTTACGCCAGCAGGCGTTCTTGACATTCGTCCCCTGCTTAGTAAGAGGGCTTTACATAGGCTCCCGGTGAGTAGAGTTTGGAACAACATGTTTTTTCCAGAATTCGCTAGCTCTTCTATCTTTAAAAAAAGTCTACGGTTGCTTTCTAGCGCTCAATCTACAGAAGCAACGTTATAGAGTAGTTACTGGAAACTTGTATGTGCGCTGCATTACATCCTTTCTAAAAATCCACAGGAAAAGTTGAGTAAATTGGAAACGAAATACCAGGGACATGCTATATATCAAAAGATTCGCCTTGATGAGCTGAGCACAACGCTTTTTTCAAATTCAATATATTCGTTTCGAAGGAAGTTAAGGCGCTGCTTAATTTGCGTGATTCGCGGATTCCACGGACCTCGCGGAAATTTCGCAAGTTCCGTGGACAGTATCGTATAAACAAAATCGTGGACGTTTGCGAGGAGATCTGCCAAAATTTCTTGGATGCAAGTCTCAGCAGCCTCGTATGCAACACTACTGAATCACTGCAGGCTATGTTCAATGTGTGCGTTCAGTCTCTAGGCTATTCGCTCTAAGCAATGTGCAACATTTTTAACGAACTCTATTAGAAAAACTGTGATTTATCATGATCTAAACCAATTGTTTACATGGTGTGATACGCACACTTCCCTCTATAAGCATTTCATCATTAGAAGTTAGACTTCCAATGATTTTCTACGTTTCAATGCTACCTGAATCAGTGCAGTGTGGTCAACTATTAAGACGTTATAATAAAGGGCTAAGGGTTGTTTACGTGTTGTTGTTGTTGTTGTGTGTGTGTGTGTGTGTGTGTGTGTGTGTGTGTGTGTGTGTGTGTGTGTGTGTGTGTGTGTGTGTGTGTGTGTGTGTGTGTGTGTGTGTGTGTGTGTGTGTGTGTGTGTGTGTGTGTGTGTGTGTGTGTGTGTGTGTGTGTGTGTGTGTGTGTGTGTGTGTGTGTGTGTGTGTGTGTGTGTGTGTGTGTGTGTGTGTGTGTGTGTGTGTGTGTGTGTGTGTGTGTGAGTGTGTGTGTCCGTCTGTTACGAAATTCGTAGAGCGTGTTCCAGCCACCGTTCTAAGCCCAAATTTCGCATAGCGCATGCTACCTTCATGAAAGTCCAACATGCAAAAGCACGAGTAGATTCGTTGAGTGGATTCCTCAGAAATTGCACGCCAAGCGGGTCCACCTAGCTTCTGTCCCGCAAAATTCGGTCCGTATCACCACTTTTTGCAAAGTCGTGGATGTGTTTGGTAAGCAAATGTGCAAGCGATGGACTTTAGCCCGAAAAGTGGTCGAAAGTTTATTATATAACGAGAACGGCGCCAAAAAGAATTGGTTGTGTAAATGGTCAATTTGCCAAGGTTCTAGCCGAGCATTTGAAAAGATTTTCGCACAGAGTTGTATCTCGTGGTTACTATTGCCTTTATGGCGACTACCAAGCCATGACAAATTCAAAAAACTATCCAAATTTGCGTTTGTCTTCCTGCGAAAAGTTTCATCCATGCGAAATCACCGGACTCACGTGAAAAAACTTTCTAAATAAGTAGTTGTTTACATTTTATTCATGGTAGTCGGGAGAGCGCGGTGAGTTCCAGTAAGAAGATTTTACGAGCATGAGCAAGGCACATTGACCCGTAGTAAACCCCCCATCAGGGCATCTCTCTTGACGTGGACCTGGGGTGATTCCATCGCGCCTCAGTCTAGCATCCGGTGAGCTATTGATCTGGATGCGGATCACTTCCTGGACATTATAATCAAGTGCATTCTTGAAAAAGTAGATATTTGAGCAGGTATGGTCGAACCGCTTAGTGATTGGAATTACCGCGTGCGGCCATGGTTCGACTCCGCCTAGCGAAACAACTTTTGCTGCATCGCCGGGCAATCTTTAATAGCGACCACTATCGCAATCGATCATGACCGCTATCGAGGACTTCGCCTAGCAAATGCAAAGATAAAACAAAAACACATTTTGTGACGAGAATTTCATAAAAAAAACGAAATGGTTGCAGCATGAATTTAATGAGATGAACAAATGAGTTCTCATGTTGGACAACTTCAAAAAAAAAACAGCGAAGTTTACAAAAAAGAGAAGAATTTGTTTTTTGTTTTCCTCGCCAAAATCAGCTGTTCATTGATCCTCTCCTATTCGGGCGCGGCCGCGCAGTTTTGCGCCGATTTTGTCTGCAATATTATGTAAGTGTCCCGTAAGTTACTCACGAGCAACTTACGGGACTTTTCTCTGCGTCTCATCCCTTGCACACTATTTTGGTCAATTCATCTCAAAATTGAGGCTGCTCTTACGGATTTCAGGTGAATTCATCGCGGCACATGCCCTGACGCTAACCCTTCAGATCAGGTCGCATTCTTAAGCTTGTGAGAGTGACCGCTAGTCAGTTTATCTTAAATACCTCAACTCAGCCCCTCAGTTGAGGTCACCTGAAGTGAAGTGGGGTTTACTACGGGCCATAGATAGTATAGCCAGTGCGAGCCTCTGCGAAGCAGAGGTGACGCACTGGTTTGATTATATTTCAAATGAAAAAGTATAAATGATATGTGCTCATCTGTACAACCATAGCCAAGGCAAGGATTCGAAGCAAGGCTGTGCACCATTTGCAAACTTTGGTCAATTACAAAGTTGGATTTTGATTTGAAAGATTTGACAAAGACGAAATTTGGAAAATGGTTATGTTAGATCATAAATTATCAGTCTGATCACGAAGTATAGCGCAATTCCACCTCACACCAGCATCACACTCATTTGATTTTTTGATGAGTGAGAGCTTATTTGATCAGCTGTCAAAAAATTCCTTTTCTTGATCAAATCTCCGAAAAATATTGCTGTAATTGTTTGGACAGTTTCAAGTGCGCATCTAACCCACATTCAAAGTGGAAAACAGTTCTCTCTCCATCTGATTCAAACCAACAACCTCCCGCCTTCAATACAAGCACTTACCACTGCACCACTGCACCATCAAGAGCAGTCGTCCTTCCGCGTGCGGGTCAGGAGTCACGATTTTTCGCGAAGCGACGCCGCAACGCGACGTCAAGCAGTACACCTAGTGGGCGAATTCTGGAACTCGAGCACGCCAATTGCGGCAGAGCCTGTCACTGTCAGAACCGTTTCGAGTTCATACAGTATTCTTTTGTGTTTTCTCGCCGCTACATGGTAGTTTCTTTATCTCAGTAGCGTCAAGCAATACAAGTTTCAGCTCCCATCAGTACTCCTGCCGCAATGTTACTTATGGCATCAAGTCATGTAACTGCCGCCACCCCCCCCCCCCGCCCCACTGTGGCGCCGTGCCACTTTAGCAGGAACGACATGCAACAACGTTGCGAAAGGACCAGTTAGCCGCGAAAGACGGCTCAAACTGGCGGCTTTCGTTCCCCTACCCTCGAATACACTTCCCCTAGTCATGTGGTCCGAGCTAAAATCCAAATATTTCGAGAACTAAAGCTTGCAGAGAGCTGGAAATCTACGTTTGTACTTCTACAGATTTGTAATACACATCTACTTATGTTGGGATGACACAGCATCACTTTGGCATAATCATGAAAATTTCCGTTTTCTTACGGCAACGGCTTACATAAATGCCTAATGTGGATAATGTTTACGTGAGCAAGTTAGAATTTTTGTAGATTTCCTATTAATTGACAAGGAAAGTGTGTTTAGTCGAAGTGGGCTTTTAAGATAAGAACCATACTGCTTTGAAGAGTATTGCACGGTAATTCCAAATCTGCCAAGTGCCTCTAGACGCCGAGTTATGGCCGTTTTTGGAACGAAAAATGAATGCAGCATTTGGGTAAAATTAGTTATTACAATCTTTACAGCGCTCAGATAAAGCAATGTTAAGCGCTAGCATATTAGATAAAATGTATCCATTGCAAAAAGGCTTTGATACTTGACACCAAAAAATTTGGCTCAAATTTCGGCGATTTTGTTCGTTTTGCGCCCAATTTTTTGACCTGAAAAACGCTTATAATTCGGCGTCCAGAGGCGCTTGGCAGATTTGTAAGGCGGATTTGAAAGCATCGCTTAAAGCTCTTCAAAGCAGTAGGGGTCACATCTGGAAAGGCCACTTCGACTAAACATACTTCCCTTTTGAGTTACGATTTTTCTCGATTTTTCGAGCAGTTGAATCTTTTTAATTTTGGCTCGAAACTTAAGGTGGATCAGAGCTGTTGCTAAAGCAAGATCGCCATCTTCTAGAGCTTGCTTTCCTCTATCGAATGGTACTTTGATAGCTATTCAGGAATGAAAAGTGTGTGAATTACTGCGGTTGAAAACCAAAACGGACATTAATTTCCCGACAAACTAATTCTTGCCGAAAAAAGATTTTGCTTGTATAGTTTTCACCCCTGGGTTTCTTCAAGCTTAACCTGAAATAGAAACGAGCAATTACCACGAAACATCACTTGAAAGCAAAAACTCTTCAATCCCAACTAAATATACTGTTATCCAAAAATGACACAAAACGTTGGGGAAACATAGAGAAAAACGTTTGAGTATCAACTAAGGGCTGAATGTGCTGCACTCTGTTGAACAACAATAAGTCGGCGAGTGGTCTACTGTCAGCGAGGCGCTCGAAGTCAAGTGCAAATTCAAACTCGCGCGATGCCGTTGTTTTGTGGCGGACCGCATCTTCAATTTCTTGTAAAGACAGTAACTGCAGACTAAGACAATATGAAGCCATCAAAGCCAATAACCAGTCCGCGAGCTGCCGCCGGAGTAAGCAACTTCCCACGATGTGTGTCAACTTGCCGGAATCCGTCAGGTAGGGTACATTACTACCGGCTTAGGTGTCTAGCGGAGAGAGGACGATTATACATAGCAGCGTCCTCAAATTCAAATGCATCGTCCATTCTGAGTCAGTGGTTGTGAGCTTGGCAGCTTACTATAATACTTACTTACTATAGAAGGACCCCCTATCAAGCCAATGCCCAAGTCACGGTGCAACACATTTCTTCGGAAGCGTGAAAATCGCTTCGGAATAGAGAAGAGGCATAAGGACCCCAATCGACACCGCCCCCTTCCCGCAATGCCCGCCCATCCGTGCGCGCTCATCCCATCACCGTTCCAAAGAACGGCCTGAGGGCTTTTTTCTTCAAAACGGGATCATTGAGGTTTTCCCGCATTCTCGACTTCATATTCGGAATCAAGGACGTGAGAAGATCAAAGCATGGAAGTCGAGAATCTGGGTGAACTATACTTTGAGCAACGCCCAAAAACGTAGTTTTCAAGTTGCCATATTCCTTCCAGAAGAGCGTTCAGCGGAAACGGAATGCAGATTCAAAATCAGCGTTCAAAAACACCTAGCTGATATGCATCTTACATCAGATACCCTCGCACATAAAAAGTACTTCCCTTGTATGAATAATCAGCTTTTCTTATACAACTTTCCAGGAGCTTCATCTTTAGTTTATTGCAACCACACATTATACGTACTCACTTTAGTGAGTTACAAGAGTTTTTGTGAGTTACAGAAGTCATTTCATAATTGTTGACACAGAAGAAGATACGTGGAGAGGTTGGCCAGAGACAGATGAATAAGCAGGAGGTGGCTCCGCTGATGTAATGGAGAATGGAATAGATGTAGTGACCGAGGCGACCTCTAGTTGCGGAATCGTTCGTATGGTCCTGAAGTTTTCGGGGCTACTCACCAAAAATCACTTTAAAACGCACTTACACTCTGATGTCTGTACTGCTCACTCGACGCAACTTTTGAAGCCCCACACAAAGACAGACATAAAAAATAATCGCAAGCGAAGAAGAAATTATCGTAAGATAAAGTACGTCTGCAACAGGACTCAGAAACACGAAAGCGCTTTGGAACAGTTGGAAAACCAAACCTTCTGCCACAAACAAATTCGTTACTGTCATGGTGAGTGCCATAATCACCGGAATCCGAAGGATTGTCTACAAGTGGAATATATGAAGGTAATACAATGCTACTAGAGATTTAATTGTGTGGATGAGTCGGAAGAACGGTGGTCTCAGGCAGAACGCTTATGGAATTTCTGTAATAAAGAAAAAGCACAACGAATCAATACTTACATTACATAGCAATGAGAGGGTAATATAGAATCTGTGCACAATGATGATGCTTACTAATGTCAAACAAAAAACAGCGGCGTCAAGTACTATCAGCATGATCCCTAAAAAAGAAATACCTCAAAATCCCAACAATATAGTAAATATGATTTCGGAACGACGAATGCTCGTCGAATGTGGAGAAAATGAGGAACTTTGAAAACCTACCGAAAATGGGCGATAGAAGTGCAAAGACAATGCAATCCACTATGTTTGTCAATATGCTCATCACAATGCATATTTTCTGAAAGGACGTTCAAATGACAAGAAGATAAGGGTACGTTTAGATAAGTATCACTGCTGCAGACATTTTAAAGCTTCATTATTTGTATACATGGCTTGAAAGATTACCTGGACTTTTAACATAGGACAGCACATCGTGAAAACACTGAGTTTGAATCAATAATGGACTCGGTGTTATCTCTTCCATAAAAAATCTAAAAGTCATGAAGACGCTTAAATCAATCAAATGTCCGTAATTAGTAGCAGAAAATGTTGGCCCTTGCAGCAACGTCAACCTAAAAATGCATCAATTATCTGCATTCATAAAGTGTCATTTCTCGCGAATCAGAAGCAAACTTATGCGCATTACAAAAGCATCTCACAAATCCTTGTACAACAACGGAGATGGTTGTGAACACTATACATGGAAGGCAGTTGGGGCGAGGGGACAGGGGGGGGGGGAGAAGATGTGCGCCATCCCCCCGAGAATGAGCCTCGGAACTTTTGAGATTTACTAAATGTTTGTTCCTGTCGGGATCTCGAGCCGTTGACGTGAGCTTAGCGCTGGCAGCGCTAAGTTCACCCTAGGGTTTTGCGCGCATATGCGCGCTGTCGGAGAAAGTGAAAAGATTAGAAAGAGGGCAGACAGTCAGACCGTGGGGGTGACGCAAAACACTAGCGACGCGGACTCCCGCCATGGCAATTTCGGCCTGATTGGGATCAAGACAGACTGTACATGAGCATGTATAAAAATGTGCAAAGTCATATTTATACTTGCAAATAATCAAAATAATTCTGAAAATTCTTTGAAAATTCAATTTAGCTCTGTAAAAAAAATTTCTGGATGCTTTCGGGTCACGGGCCTTCAAAATATTTGGCACGCATCCCAAAAACTCTGAAGTACATGGCTAACGGCAGGCACTCCTTCGAAAAAAGCTCGTCGACACCTCCCCCTCCCCTTCCCACCCCAAACGGAAATCATGGGATCCCCACTGATAGGGGGATAAATGCTTTGGGTGATCTGCTGTCCAACTTTGCTTTGAAAAACACAGGAAAGTTGGATTATGGGTGAATGCTAAAATTGGCATAATTTCTACCTTACTTTAACACAACTTACTGTTTTACAGACTTTTCTTTATTTATTCGAGCTATTGATGTGCGATCGTAACAGCATCAGTTCCAAAAGTTCAGACTTTCTCATCGTATCGTGTGGTGTTTAAATTACATTATTGCAAAAGTAGAACAAATCAGACAATGATAACTTCAAGATTACGGTCGAATTGGAATGAACCAGCAATAGTTATTTTCTTTGTACTAGTTTATGGAGGATTATTCAAAGCAACTGAAGTAACGAGACTATTTGTAAGTGAGCCAAGCATACTAAAGTATCGCGCTCCTCATATGAGGAGCAAGTTGGATAAAATTTAGCTAATCATAATCGCTGCTTTTCTGTGTCACCTGTTCAGCATTTTTTGCTACAGCATACCTCACCAAAAGGCCCACAACGAAATCTTTCCTAACATCAATATCAAAGTTTATCACCAGTTGAATCCATTTAGGTAGAAATTTCTTTGAATTTTGAAGATGCAGCCTCCATTAAAAATGAAGTGGTACACAACTGAGAGATTTATCCGGAGCATCATACAACTGAATTTTTAATCAGAATATAAACTTCATATTATATCCTCTAACCAAACTCTATGAATGCTACACTTTTTGCCTCCGCATCTGACAATGACCCGTATAAATTACCTTCATTCCAGCTCGACTGAGGCGGGCTTAATTTGGCGTATTTTTTCACTTGGCGTTCTGCTAAGTGAACGATTGATCAGGATCGCATCGCTTTGTGGTCGTTCGTGTTTTCAAGAAAAGAACATTTTCACAAATTCTGCAGCTTTGGTCATGTGGATAAAATGATGCGTTTTAATCGGTAGAGCCATGGTTTGGGTGCGGCTAGCGATACGATTTTGGCTACTTAGTCAGGTGATCTTATCAGGGTTTTTACCTGGCAAACAAAGAGATGAAAGAAATTCACAATACTTGGACATTCATGGGAGAAAAAATTACATTTGATGAAAATTGAATGAAAAGATAGGTTTACCTTCTTTCTATCTGGAGCGGTTTTTCTGAAAAAAAAAACAAACATCATTTGCAAAAAAATGCAAAAAAACTTTTTCTCATTTCATCGCCGCAATCAGTCGTTCATCGACCTTCTCCTATTTAGGCCCTCGAAATTGTGCAGTTCGTATGCTTCAAAAATAAATTCAGCAAAGAAGTACGGTTATTGTCACTGTTATCTCGCCTTCTCTATTTTTGGGCACACGCCATTGATCATTTGATCCACTTGATCCACTTCGCATTCATCAAATCAGTGAACTGTTTAGTAGCAAAGTAGATGAAATGGATCAAGCGATCAAGTTTAAATATGACGTATGTACAGGGCTTATCAACTGCAGTGTCGGGTGCACCAGCATTTCCGCTCCCACGCGGGACTCAACACCTCTTCCGAAGAACATGCTCTCTTTTCTCACGGGGGGCGTGGGAAAGACGGAACAACCTCAATCGATCGGAAGTGATTAGACAACATGTTCTACCTGGAAAACGCAGAGTCCAGCGCGGGAGTGGAGATGCTGGTGCAGCCGACACTTCAATTGATAAGCCCTGTAGAGCAAATGCAAAAACCTAAGTTGTGTAAGTGCACTTTAGATCCGAAGAGCACCAGCTTGCGTTCGGTCCGTCAGTAAACGCGTGAAGCTGAAAAACATGAGGCTTACGAAACGAAAGATTCGTCGAAACAGGCGGGCAGTGAGTGAATTGAATGGATTTCCTACTCTCTTTCAGAATCTCTGCCCGATTTTCACTCAACCTATGGCAATTTGTAGTAGCTTGGCGAGTTTTTAGCTGCTTCAATTGCTCTATGTAAATAGATTTGGCAGCCGACTATTACAGTGGTAGGCGGCATAGGCAAAAGCAGCGTCTCAAGCATAGGCCGTTGCTCACCACGTGATGGAGCTGTTAGTACCTCACTAGAAAAAGCACACGACTAAATTTTTCTCGAACTAGTGCGATGGTCAGCGAGAAATAAGAGTGATGATCCGCTAGGCGGTAAGTTGAGGCTTCGTACTACAGATGGTATTACTAAATGCTTTTTTGAAAAGTACAATCTTAATTTATATGTTGGAGATCTCGCTAATCTCTCTGTGGCAAGCTTTAATCTCGCATGGAGATGCAAAAACAAAAAAAATGTTATTTCAAAGTGAAAATATCCCATAAGTACACTTCTTAGCAAGTTTCCATAGGCAAAAACGTCACCGTCTTCTGGGTAGGCATCAGGTCAAATTTTTAATTTCGAATTTTGTTCGTGAAGAAACTGCGCGAGGGCTTTTCATGTAGGATAACAGTTGAGATTTGTTCACTTAAAGTCAATGCCTGCCATCAACCGTTCTCACCACTATTGCTGTCGTCTTCTACGTCCTGATGATAGTGTTTTGCTGCATACCGTGCAGCTTGAGTAGTGACATCAAATTTACAAGGGTAAATGGCTAAAATTTGCCGTTTTAACAAGCAATGTTTTTCTTTTTGTACAGGGTGTCCCAAAAGTCTTTAAGCCTAGTATTTTAGCTGTAATTGTACGAAGCAACATTGACCCATGAAATTTAGAGAAAATCTTGCGAAGAACCTACAAAATAACAAGGTATACTCAGATTTCGAAAAATTCTCATTTGGCCTTCAAATAAGCCCTCACACTCTTGCGGAACGCATGCAACGTGGCAGACAGGTAGTTGACGTCGAGAATGTTTCACACCTTCTAAAGCAAGTGTTCCCTACCGCCCAAAATTTAGGGTAGAACAGAGCAAGCCTTGCTGTCCATCACTGATCACAGAGAAAAGTCAAAGGCTTTTGAGCCAGCAATTGAAAGGACGTTGATCTAAGAAGCGCGCCTGTGAGATTTAGCAAAAGTGTCAAAATGTAGCAATCAAGTTCTTGAGAACATCAAGAGAGCAGCAATTATGGTGTAAATAAATTGACTTTGAAATGATGTTTTAGTAAAAAAATGCAGACGTTACAGCCAGAATTAGTGACTCAAACTGAACTGTTGCTAGAGTTTTCAGCTTTCTCAGATTTTTGTTCCCAATGACTTTTTTCTTATTGGCACGGCACTACTTTGAGTGTTCGTATCTTAAACCTACGATAAGGAATAAGACTATGATTAGTTCTCACTGTAAATAAACGTAGAGTGAAGCTAGCTCTACAATATGCAGTTCAAAATTCTGCAAGAGCTTCAAAGGCAAAAGAGCTATAAATGTTTAAGTAAAGGCTACGCTTACACTGGGTCGTCCTCAAATAGTGATACAATTTGCTCCAAAAACAATATCTTGAAAATGTACAGCGCAAACGATATGATTTTCTCAAGGAATACTAAAAATTAGACGAAGTATTCATACGCAAAATTTGATTGACAAGCGAGGAATACTAACAAAGTTACTAACAAGGGATGTGTTTTCGGTCGAAGTGGCCTTTTCACATGAATTTGATATGGCTATAAAGAGCATCAAACGCTGATTCCAGACCTGTCTTCGATATCTGCCGAGCGCCTCTAGACGTCGAGTTATGAATATTTTCTTGGTGCAAAAAATGAACGCATAATCTAAGTAAAATATTTTACGGTCTTTTCAGCGCTCAAGTAGAGCAGTGTTAAGTATGAGTGCTTTAGATAGGAAGGTAATGTTCAAATAAAGTGCTTTGTTAATCAACATTGGGCCATTTGAGCAAATCTGACGAATATTTTCCTAATTATGCATTTAATTTCTCAACTCAAAAACGCTCATAACTCGACGTCTAGAGGCGCTCGGCAGATAATGAAGACAGATTTGGAATCACGTTTGATGCTCTTTATAGTCGTATCAATTTCATGTGAAAAGGCCACTTCGACCGAAAACACCTCCCTTGTAAGTTGAAAAGTTATGCTCAAAGACATTTGGGACACCCTGTAGTTATTTGATCCATACATCGCCGGCTCACCGCGCAGAATTCGCCTTGCATTTTTACAAGCATACCTTCCATAGTCTAGAGACAAGGCGTCAAAAGTGAAGATTGTTCGAACATCTGACGTCACAAATAGTGAAGGTTGTTTAAAGAAGATCAGAGAAGAGAAATGACTTAAAACAGATACAAAAAGCAAAAGAAACTGCTGAAAACCGGATAAAACGCTGCAAGAGGTTTGAAATCTTTCATTTGGCGGCTTTCCAAAGTGCAAGTTTTCTCTCCAGGACCAGCAATACGCAACACGGGGTTTT